AAATGACAGAGGAAGCCAATGTGTACAAAGACTGAGTGCCTCAGGCCAAGGGAGTTTACACAGTGTGTTGATATTAATCTGTACTCTTACATTTCCACCCCATTCTTGTTCTCAGTGCCAATCAAAAGTGATTTCTCTCAATCAAAAGCCAAAAGCTACTGCCTGAACTGTAATGCATCCACATATAGACATACAGTTTGTGATTAGTAGAGGAGTTCTGATGTTGATTGTCACTTAATTACTTCATGCAAAATATCACTAATCTAGACAAACCTAATCATAGTGGGGATCAGTGAAAATCCCCAAATCATTGTATAATACACACAAGCTTGATCAAGGCAGCAGTAGCATATTTTAGAGCTCTAATTAAATGTAATGCTCCTCAGACAAGCTCCATTCTCAGGCGTCTTAGCAGCGTCATTATGAGCCCATTGACAGAAGTTATACTACATCTGAAAAGGGTGTGCCACAGACAAGGCCTTGAGCAGGAACAGGCTCCAGACCTAGGAGGCCGCCTCAGGCATGTAGTTCAAATTTAAGAATGAGTTAGCGTGTCAAGATAGCGTGTGTGCAAGACCACGCCTGCACCTGTCAGGTGCTCTGTAGCATGCCTGTGTTCCGTGCAGCGGAGCGGCTACACAGCACATGTGTGTTGCACGCAGACACATACCGCAGCGATGAGGGACACCTGTGATTTACCTTTGGATACATGGAAACAGCTAAATATTTATCATAGTGCAGTCCTCCTGGTCCTGACACATCCTGTCTTATGTAAACATCCGTTTTCAGACTCAGGTCACTGGGGCAGATTTACTGTTGACAGTTCATAGATGTATGGTATCAAAGCATTTTGGCAAAACATAATTCAGGGGTGTCAAACAAATTTTAGTTGGGGGCTGGACTTAAAAAAAAATTCCCAGGCGGGTTTGAAGCTCATTTTTCACACTATGAGTATATGTTGACAAAGAGATCCTTTATTTTTCCCTTAGTGAGGAAATGTCAGTGACTACAGCGAGGGCTAAAGGATTACTTTAATTTAACCTGAGTTTGGAAGTTATTTTCAGGTAGATCTTTCTGAAAATCTGAACAACTACTGTATGGATTTACCTAAAACTGCCTGAAAGTAAAATAATTGGCTAATGATTTATATTCTTGAATTAACAATTTATTGGTTCCAATTTCAAAATAAAATAAATTACATTGTTGTTTTTTTTTTTGAAAATTAGCTTTAAAATAATGTATATGATGACGTACACATATTTACCACCAATGCTTTAAGTGAATAGTAATAATTGAAATAAATTTCAGGGGCCACTAAAGTGGTCTGGCATTGGGCCCATGGGCCTTGTGTATGACACCTGTGATCTGATGTATTTATGAAAATTCATGGTTTAGAAAACTTTAAACAAATACGCAAATGATATACACACAGAAGTTGTTAGTTTAACTCCATTACAGGAAGATGCATCTTTATAAATAAACTAAAAAGATTCACCAATGAAAAGTTATCTGAAAAGTCGAAAAGTATTATTTCAAGATGATATTTTCTTTGTTATATCAAATAACACATTTGAGACGGACATTGATGAAGCTGTAGAAGGCTGTAGAAGGCTGTAGAAGGCTGGATTGGCTCTGGCCGTCTGGTCTGAAGTGGCAGTGTTCTCGTGCAGAAGGATGCTTACCAACAGCAGCTCTGAGCCAGCACAGATTCCACTCATACCGATAAACATCTGCTCAAATGTATCTCTTCTATCTTTATTTTTATCCTTAGCTGACCGAGCACTTACTTCCACCATATTTAAGTGTAAGTAAAAAAACCTGACTTTTAACACTGCAAAAAAAAAAGCTGCCATCTTCAATTGCGTTTTACATTATAGGCATGGCTAAATCACACGCTGTGTTTTAACCTTTTTTATGATTAAATAATTCTCCTCTAGAGATTACATTTATTATAGATTTTTTCCCCAGCTGCTTTGACTGATTTTCTTGATCAGAGAATTTAACCTTCAAACCTTGCAATTTTTTGTTCCCAGGGCCTTTCTGAGTGGAGTTTGCATGTTCTCCCCGTGTCTGCGTAGGTTTCCTCCGGGTACTCCGGTTTCCCCTACCACTAAAAATATGTCCAATAGTTCTGGCATGCGCCTCCTGTACTGGCCCCGCTCCCATCTCTGTGTGGAGTGAGAGACAAATGCCCAAAAATAACAATTGTAAACCGCTTTGAGACTCAGATCTGCAGTGAAAAGGCGGTATATAAATATAGATTACTACTTACTACTACTACTACTACTACTACTTTGTTCTGTACAAAGAACATATCTTCGGAGAAATTGTTCCAATAATTTTAACAATAACAACATGTCTGTTGCATTCTTTTGTTTATACGCACTATTTTTCTTTCCTTCATGCACTCAAGCCTATAAAATTTAGCACAATGAACCCAGTTCAATCTAATCCTGAAATCCGGGTCTGCCGCAGAAGTTATTTATGACGTCAAAGTCTGTGTTGGGGTCAAGAAACTGCAGAGGAGCCATTATGTTGAAATACAACGGTGATGATTTCCTCAGAAAAACAAAAATTCTCACTGATTTTACTTTGTGAACACAATTATTTGTTTTGATTAATTATTTTTTACCCACTTCAATAAATCAGAACAATTCAAAAGTTTAGAGTTTTACCTGATGGTTTCGATTATCATCACCAACATGTTCCCTATCAGATGTATAAAATATGAAGTGTTTAAATAAAACATAATGTAAATACACACATTTCATTGAGTAACTTAACTATATTCCCTTTTGTAGTAATACAATTGGTAATCATTTTTGAATATCTGTCATCTTACATTACATCTTACAAAGTCATCTACAGAACCTGTTGAAGTGTTCTTTAACTTCTATAATTCGCACAGAAGGGAAAAATAGTTGAGAGTAAGAGTAAATGAGTAAAACTAGGATTTGAAATAGTTTGCTTTAGTAAATTTGGAAATCCTAGTTTGTTGTTGACACATTTCTAACACGAGTCTAATATTTGTTTTTTTTGCTGAATCTGAACACACATTCAATATTTTTTTTTACTGAAAGGTTTGGTTGAATTGGGCAATGTCTTTTATGGGTTTTGATGTTTGCTTTATAGCTTAGTGAAGGCATTTAAAATAGCAACAGAGTAAGCAGAAAATGCCCCAAAGTAAAACAGAAAACTGCACCAACAGAAAGCAACAGAGTTCTTTGAGGAGATGGATAAAAAATCAAAACATCTGCGGTTTCTGAACAGTTTAATTTTGGATAATTTGTTTGATTCTATTTTCTCAAATAGGCTTTCTGTTTTCTCAAATTTCTCTGACGTTACGGCATACAGCATAATGTCACGCAAAGGGGTGGGTCTGCAGGTGGAGACAGCTGTCAGAAACACGGCTGTGCATTTCCTTCATACACGCAATCTCAAGCCCGGATTTTGTGGAGACTATAAATTCTGACACATCTGGAAAATAGGTGTTACATTTTGGAAAGTGAGACCTGTATCTCCCTACTTTATGTTTCTACCAGCTCCAACAAGCCTCTCAAATGGCCTGCGGTTTATAATTACCATCCTGCCAGGCTTTTGACCCTGACCCCTGATACTTACTCTGTTGATAATGACACCTACCCACGCTATAGTTCAACAGTCAACAGCAGGGGAGACATTTGTTCCACACATAAATGTAGATGTTCACCTCCCTCATGTCCATGTTTGATATTAATGGATTGTCACTTGGGGAAGATTCGCCAGGGTCAAAACTCACTTTGTACTATCAGTTATTCAGTGCTTTCTGCAGGTAATAATATTGAAATTACCCCGTGGACCACTTTTCAACTTGTGTCATGCCACTGAGTTGTAGAGAAACAAGTTTTGCGAAATTTACATTAGTATGAAAAGGTTCCCAATGGCACTGGAACGATGGGTCAAATATAAAATAAGTAAATAATTCATCTTTATTTATATACCGTATTTCACAGACCATGGGCACACAAAGAGCTTTACAATCATTTTGGAGAACCGATATTTTTACATTTGCTCCACACATGGTGATGACAGAAGCGAGACACTATAAGCCTCATTACTTTCAGAGCTTTTATTCATGTTTTTAGTGGTCGGGGAATCCGGAGCACCTGGAGGAAACCTTCACAGACACAGGGAGGACATGAGAACTCCACGCAGAAATGCACGGTCTGCAGATAGAATCAAAACCATTTGAGCACGTTAACCACATTATTAGGGAGTGTGTGAGTGTTGTTGGGTCGGAGGGCCCAATACTGTCTAACTACCCCAGGGCAGCGCAATATTACATCATTGTTATTATTATTACAGTTATGATTACTTTTGTTATTGTTATTATTGTGATTATTTATTGTTGTTATTATTACTAATGGCATTAATATTATTATTGTGAAATAGGTTCATAATGAAGAGATCATTTCAATAATTTTTTTTTTGAAAGACGCTCTAAAAATGATTGGGGTTTTTACGATTGACAAAAATCCTCAACATAATTACTTCAGTAATATCTGACAATACTTCAAACTGCAGTACAATATTGTTTTAAATATTGTATACACTCTTGCATAGTACATTGTATATCTCACATATTGCTTAATACAGTATCTGACATAAGTTAACTTCTCTGAACTATATTAAATACAAAAGGGCCCCTGTCTTTGAGGGGCCCTCTCAATAAAGCCTCAAGAGTTCTCAGTCAGTGATGCGCAGGTGCAGAGGGCCACACACACAATCCCAAACAGGAAGAGATGTAGACGATAAAGTGTGCCGTTTGAAGTGGTTCAGTTCACAGGCACAGCCAGAGACAAAGACACAGGCAGCATCTTCTTCACCCATGGGCCTGCACGCACATTCCACCTCTATCCATGGAATATGAAAGGAAGCGCCACATTGTAACATGTCCTCTGTCTGCTGCTTACAACATATGAGTTTGATAAGGCCACTGTGTCCTTCTGTGCAGTCATCGGTCATGAGTTTAGCATGACATCACTCTGTCCAGATCCCCACTCCAACACGTCCTCCTCCCCAGAGGAGTGAGAGTCCAGAGTGAGACCTCTCCTCTCCCCAAAAACCTTCTCCTGCAGCTCGATGATGTCATTACGGATGTCTGCCATCATGAGCAGGAGGAAGTCAAAGGAGCCTGGTGGACCCTAGGAAACACAAACTTACAATAAAAAATACATATTGATATTCAAGAAATTGGATCAAAAACAATAGAACCTACAGCGGGTCCACTGGGACCTGGTGCTCCTCTGTCACCCTGTGCTCACAAACAAGATAAAGGTATGAAAACGGTGGCACTGGCAAAAGGCCATGTTAAAACAATAAAAATAATGACAATAACCTTTAGTCCATCTTTTCCTGGTGCTCCTGGAGGACCCTGCAAAAATAGCATTAGTCAATACACACACAAACACACACACACACACACACACACACACACACACACACACATATATATATACACTGTATATATAATAATAATTATTATTATATATAGATACTGTGTGTGTGTTTAACAAGTCCTTTCATAGGACCACAGATATAGATAAAATATTACCACAGCTCCCCTGCGGCCTCGCTTGATATGCCTCAGGTCGGGTTCTGGACCCATGGGTCCTATGTCACCACGAGAACCTTGTGGGCCCCTCTCTCCTGGCTCACCTCTCCTCCCTGGTTCACCAGGGTGCCCTGATCATATCACAATAATTATATTGGATGAGTACCCCACAAAAAAGAGCACATTAAAATGCTACAATAATACCTGGGACTCCAGGGGCTCCTGGAGGTCCTGGAAGTCCAGAAGAACATGTGACTGAAGACATTTTGCCTGATCTTCCATGAGATCGCTTATCACTGCTATTGGCTAAGCCAGACACCTAAACACAGCATTGTTTAAACTTGGATCCAAAGTAGATGACACCATATTGTTTTCGGTCTTAAGTGAGGCAATGAGGACTTTAAAGAGTTTACTAAATCTAAATCTATATGTTTAAAGAAAAGATCTACAATACCGGGCTGGATGCCTGTATGCTGCCCAGGTTTGACTTGAGCTGCTGTAGACTGCTCTTCATGTTGACAAAGTCCTGACAGGTGAAAGAGCAGGCTCCCGCACTCATCAGAGTCTCGGACTTCCCTGAAGAACTCACTGTGAGACAAAGTAAAGCACTGTCACAGAAAGCTCTCGTTCACTGACTTTAACAGAAGTGGAAAATGCCATCGGCTCATAGTGAGACTCACTGTGGTGGTCAGGGATGCAGGACTGCTGGTCTGCCCCCAGCGTGTAGCCTGTGCGACAGCGACAGGTGAAGCTGCCCGCACTGTTCACACATTCATGCTCACACATGTTGGTGTCGGGATGCTCACATTCATCAATATCTGGAGGAACACATTGCAAGGATTAACACTACTTAATTAATGTACACTTAAATAACTTCAATCCCTTTTTTAAATGTCGTAGTAGTATGGGTAAGTGACAACAGTACTAGACATGTATTTATGATAATTCAACAAATGTAACACACATTACATATTTGGTTTGGTCCTGTTATTGGGAACTCTAAAATTCATTAAACATTGTATTATCAATATTTCTGTAAATACTCAAGGTTTACATGGCCTATAGTAAGTAAAATAAAATATACTGGCACCAATATTACCATGGATTTTGGGCACAAATTAATGTTAAAAGACTGTTATAGCATCAAAAGGCTTTTGTATTATTTAATTACAACGATGTGATTTTCTATTCGAATGTCAAAGGGAGTAAAGTATGTGGAGGAGTCTGGATGGTAATACCGATGCAGTATGGAGACTTGTGATTTCGGTGTCTCTCTCTGTCAAATCGATATCCAGGAAAACAGGTGCAAATCACTCTTCCAAAGTTATCTGTGCACTGCTGTTCACAGGGAGAAGCCGCGCACACGTCTACACCTGCAACCAACACAGTCCAACACCACATTACAATATTACATGGACAGACATTGCCATCTAGTGGTTTATGAGTGAATGGCCAAAAACGATATAATAATGTGAAATACAATTACACGACTGAAACCACTCTTTTCCACTGACTCATTTCCCAGTGGACTATTCTAGATGTATTATAAAGAAAAGGAAGAAAGTCACAATAAATAAAGACACCACGTTAGTTCATAGCTAGCATCTAAAATAAATCCTCCAAGTTACAGATTTTTGCAAAGAAAAATGTCAAAAATGAATAATCCACAGCTGTACATCTCCATGTGTCCTGATGACACCAGGCCAATGGATGCTTCTTTTTTAACTGCATTTTAGACCAGAAATCCTGGATGGCAGAAAACTTTCTCCAGCTTACACTGTAACAATTTTCTGTAAAATGACAATGAAATTTCAACATTAAACAAATGTTATTTTGAAAAACAATTCAAACATGCAAATTTAAGTATAAATTGGTAAAAAAAATACATCCAGTGGCGTTTTATTACCACAATTATAATGTGATTATAAAAAACGTTACAATACCATAAAATCACAATGTGATTACTGTAATTGTACACTCTTTTGTTAAAATGACGCTTTTGCATTGAGCATATTATTGAAGTAAAGATTTAAACTATGCTCTTGTATAAACTGAAGATGTTAAAAAATAATTGATAAGTTGTGTTCAAAAAAGGAAAATAAAATTAAACTGTGTAGTTTTTTGTTCAATGAAACTATTTAGAAACAGAAACAGTCATATGGTGTAATATATATTAACATTATAATGCTTTTTGTTGTACGTGAATGAACAGGAACATACCGTTAAATCCTGAAATTACAAAGGCATAATGTGATTCGGTGAAACAGTCTTTAACCGTTAAAATTAGCAACGGTAAGCGTTGAGAAAACGGTAAATCCCTGGAACCATATTTGCTTTTTACCGTTTTTCTACAAGGAAATTCTTTACAGTGTAACCACAAAACTGAGGTTTTAGTCATCGGTCCTGAAGCCCAGAGAAAGAAACTTTCACCCAAACTCCAATCACATTCTTTTAATCTATGGTCACAAGTTAAAAACCTGGGCGTAATTTTTGACTATGAGCTGATTTTTTTTTTTTTTTTCAGATTAAGAATATCACAAAAATAGGTTTTTATAATTTAAAGAACATCGCCAGAGTCTGCCCGATTCTCTCTCGGGGCATAGACTACTGTAATTCCCTTGGCAGCCTGTGTCCTGACTAAGACCAGGGGGTGGGACCACATTACACTGGTTATAAAATTGCTGCATTGGCTCCTTTTACATCTTTCAGAACTGCTTTTATCAAATGAACCTTCCCGGCCCCTGCGCTCCTCCGGCAGCAGGCTCCTAGTCATTTCCAAAGTCAGGACGCACACTTACAGCAAGGCATCTTTCCAGCATACTGCCCCGTGAACATTCATAATTTTAAAAGCAGGGTCAAGAAACACCTTTTTAGATTAGCTTTTGATTAGTATTCATTTATTTTATCCCATTTTATATTTTCTAGAAACGTTTTAGAATCAGAATCAGAATCATTTTTATTGCCACGTAAGTAACAGGAGGTCACAGACTAGGAAATTGCTTTGGCTCAGTGCAACAGTCAGAAAGAGATAATAAAAATAAGAATAAAAAACACTTCTAAAGAATACATTTAAATTTAAAATAGAGTTACAGTTACTTTTTACAATATACAAGTGCACATGGTGCACACAATGTAAGGTGACAGCAGTACAGTGAAGTAAAGTGACGTATGATGGGCAGTAAAGTGACTTTATAAAGGGCGGAGGGACAGGTTAAGAAGTGTTCAAGAGACCAACAGCAGAGGGGAAGAAACTGTTCTTGTGGCGGGAGGTTCTAGTCCTGATGGACCGCAGTCTCCTGCCTGAGGGGAGTGGTTGGAATAGTCCATGTGCAGGGTGAGAGGGGTCGGCTGTGATATGACCAGCCCGGCCTCGAGCTCGGGCGACGTACAGGTCCTGCAGCGATGGAAGGCTGCGGCCGATCACTTCCTCTGCAGAGCGCACAATGCGCTGTAGTCTCTGTTTGTCCCTGACTGTGGCTCCAGCGAACCACACGGTGACGGAGGAGGTGAGGATGGACTTGATGATGGCCGTGTAGAACTGCACCAACATCTGTGCAGGCAGCTTGGCTTTCCTGAGCTGCCGCAGGAAGTACATCCTCTGCTGGGCCTTCTTGATGAGGGAGCTGATGGTCGGCTCCCACTTGAGGTCCTGGGTGATGGTGGTGCCCAGGAAACGATAGGACTCCACAGAGGTGATGGGGGAGTCCATCACGGAGGGTGGGGGTGGGGGGACAGTGCTCTTCCTGAAGTCCACAATCATCTCCACTGTCTTCTGGGCGTTCAGCTCCAGGTTGTTACCACTGCACCAGGACACCAGCCGGTCCACCTCCCTCCTGTAGGCGGACTCATCGTTGTTGGAGATGAGTCCAATGAGGGTGGTGTCGTCCGCGAACTTGATCAGCTTCACGGAGTCGTGGCTGGAGGTGCAGTGGTTGGTGTACAGGGAGAAGAGCAGGGGAGAAAGAACACAGCCCTGTGGGGCTCCTGTATTTATAATCCGAGAGTCCGAGACTCTCACTTTATTCTTTAGTTTTATCATCTATAATTTATTGTTGTTATTATTATTGATGTGTATTGTGGTAGTTTCCTACATATTTTAATGTGAAACTATTTGTGAAACTTTGAATGTAGTATGCCCAATGTGTCCTCTGGAGGAGTCCTCTGCACTAGGAGCCGTGGTCTGCTGTGGCTGTGGGGGTCTGGCTCCTGGGACTTGGTGGAGGTCTGGGGCCCCCTCTCTCCTCTAGGTCTTGTGTCGTCCCCTGTGGCTGCAAGTGGCTCTCTGCTCCATCCTTGGATGGCGCTTCTTCAGATGGTTTCATCTGCACCCAGCCCTATCTCTCTTCATGGTTTTACCGTTTTGCTGATATGACTGTATGTGTGTGTGTATGTTTGCATGTGCATGTGCATACTGTATCATGTACTGTATGTGGTTTGGGGTGGGTCTGTTGGGTGGTCGGATGGAGGAGTCATGTGGGATTGTTTTTAACCAAAATTTAAATTTGTAAATGTAAATTTGAAAAACAAAGAGCATGAAAAAATGTTTATAAATAACATTTGACTGATTGACTTGATTGATTGATCGAACAATATGTTGATGTTGTAATTACCATGCAAACATATTCATGACACAACAACAGATATAGATGCACACACTACTGTAGTTTTTGCTTTGTTTACCCACTTTCTGGTATGCACTGGCCCATCACGAACCTGAATCCATCACAGCATGTCCTCCTGTAAAATAAAATATATTGGTATATTATTGGTTATGGTTTATTATTACACTGCAGTTATAACATGGCTTAGTCATACACACAGACAAGAACATTCTTTTTCACATTGACTTTCTTGGACAATGACTATTTTGGCTATAGCATTTCATAAAAATGATCTATGGTGTTTGGCAATGACACCAGATTTGTAAAACTTGGAAAAACTAAAAAGGAAATTGATGGAAACACACACACACACACACACACACACACACACACACACACACACTACTGTTGAAAGCCAAAAGTGCTACTCAAGGCCTCTCATGGACGTGCTGTTACCGAGGGGACTAACATGCTTCCTCATTCAAGCTGTTTTATTCTCTTCCAGTCTCTACTCTGCGTAACCCTAAATCACTCCAGTCCACTGAATGAAAAATAACCTATAAAACATTGATGAGATCCAGATGATCGGAGCTTTAATCTGCAGTTAAGAGTTTGAGCGTGTTGAGAGACGCTCAGAGGTGACACGGCACAGACACAAGAGCCAGATTCATAAGCAATTCATCCATCATTCAATTAACTCATCAGGGAAGTATTCAGAACCTTTTTAGGGAAACGGTATTCACTTTCAGAACTATGTATGGGTTTTGACAGAAAGTTTAACTGTGAAATATACTTGTTTTAATTGTCTGAAGTTAAATCTGTCAAACTTTTTTTCTTGTTTTGGAATACTATTGGCTCAATCCTACAATACAGAGTGAGGTAATTTTGGAATTGTTATATTATTTTCAGCAAAGAATTTTTTTTTGGACCACCTGAAGCATGGTCCAAAACCCATCAGGGACAGTGTTACTCAAAAACAGGCAGTAGGGGCCCCACCCAAGAGCCAGGCCTGGGGTTGGGACTCATGTGCGAGCGTCTGGTGGCAGGACCTTGGCCCGAAATTACAACGTCACGTTAGAAATAATTGAGCAAAAATACCTAGTTTACATTTAATACATGTAAATTGCTCTGCAAATGATGATGCGATGAGGACTTAGAAGGTTCTGGTTACCTGACAACATGAGTGGGAGACACAAGTCCAGAAAGATGCCATGATGGAGGAGGATCGGCAGAGAAAACGGGTCTTCCAAAGGAACAATAGCAAATGGCCAAAGTACTTTATGCTTGAAAGTTTACACACCCACCCACATTTATGAGAACGCGAACAATATTAACACAACAAAGTTTTTTTTAAAACTCATAGTTAGTGGTAGTTTAAAGCTATACATTTCCATCATTCTCCAGCACCCAGAGGAAATCTATGCAGGCACAGGGAGAACATGCACACTCCACACAGAAAGTGATGAAGATATGAATCTATTCCAGAACCTTCTTCAAAAACATTCATGACAGCTTGCAATTGCTTGCAATAGAATGAGATTCTTCATCCTTTCTGAAGGTAAAGCTTCTTCTTGGCCTCTGGTTTCTGTAAATTCCTTCCTCTTTTTACTGGTTGAAAATCAGGTATCCTCTCTTTAAGATATCAGAGACATGTTTTGTTTTATTTTTTACCAAACCAGTTTGAAATTGAACGTGTTATTGTTAATGGCATTGGAGATTGCTGATTTTAATTCCTGCTTGTCTCCGGTGCCTGTGGGTGAGACAGCTGCAGTGCCCCAGGGAGCGTGTGATGGACAGAGCGATGGAGGGGGCAGTGCTCAGCTGACCCGTGTGTTTGTGTTTGGAAAGGTCAAAGTATTTCAGCGCACAAGCTGCAGACTTTTCCTCTGACAGACTGCTGTCTGTTATTTTTCATCATAAATATTTAAATATTGCATTATGGAAATCAGGTACACTATAATATATATATATATATTATATATATCTGTTATACAAAACTGTGCGAAGCTCAGGAATATGAGGTGATCTGTGACCAAGATGAGGTGACCAAGGCATCACTGGAACATCGACCTCAGCCAAGGTCACTCAAGACAATGGGATTTAGCAATGGCTGACCTACCGATATCAAGGCCAATATGAGTGATTGTTCTTGTGTCTGAACAGCCAAAAGTGAACGATCCAACTCGCCTCATTTAGACTCTGCTTTGTGCTTATATTAATGGGATCTACTCTACTGGATGATGAGCTACGTTTCAATTTTTATTTACTGTAATTTGTAATATTACATTTATTCTCAGAACATCACATTCCAGGTAATTCACTTTGTGTGAAATGAAATCTCACACTGACGGAGCAAGATGGAGACACGTGTTAAAAGACAGGTCTGAAGTGCGCTGTCATCCACAAACTTTGAGAACAAAACAGGAAGAAGCAACTCAGTGGAGGTCAACAACAGGACCCTGTGTGTGTGTGTGTGTGTGCGTGTGTGTGTGTGTGTGTGTGTGTGTGTGTGTGTGTGTGTGTGTGTGTGTGTGTGTGTGTGTGTGTGTGTGTGTGTGTGGTGTGTGTGTGTGTGTGTGTGTGTGTGTGTGTGTGTGTGTGTGTGTGTGTGTGTGTGTGTGTGTGTGTGTGTGTGTGTGTGTGTGTGTGTGTGTGTGTGTGTGTGTGTGTGTGTGTGTGTGTGTGTGTGTGTGTGTGTGTGTGTGTGTGTGTGTGTGTGTGTGTGTGTGTGTGTCTGTGTGTGTGTGTCTGTGTGTGTGCGTCTGTGTGAGCGCGGAGCTGCCATTTTGATGGATTTGTCTCGCAATTCCACTTGTACAATGCTCTAATCAGAACATGTTGTATTCATCAATCTGACTTCGTTTAATTTAAGCAGTTTTCAAATTTGGCTTGCTTGGCTGCGTATGATATTGTGTTGAAAGATTACGCTCAAACCGATTAATATAAGGTTTGTCCAAAAACTGTTTTCGAATACTGGCCTTGTGCATTGTATTTGATTTTGATCTGGCATTCATGACTACATTTTAGCATATCGGTTCATTGTTGTCTGCCAATGCATCGTCTAGTGGGAAGTGATTTTTACAAGGTCGTCAGAAATGCAATTTTACAACATGGTTAAGAGAAAAGTCTCTTTTTACACCCATTTGTTTCAGAGCCCTGAAATGTGTTTAACTTCAAAAATAAAAACAGAAATCCCTGCTTTACAGTGCATCGAGGACCACACTGTTTTTACTGCATGTCGATGAAAGTGCTTGTAAAAAGGTGTCACATGCACGTGGGGTTAGCATGTTGTAGGCAGCACATATGTGAAGGTGTTAGCGTGCCAAGAGTCAGCAATGTCTATGTGTTTATTTGTTTTGGAGCCCACTTCCAGGACAGAGGCACTCGAGGGACACATCAGACTGCTGCAAACAGACGGGGCTTTGAGGGGAGACAGCTCTATGTCCGCTGCTACAACTCTTCAGAAAGATTCCCATACGTCCAGACTGTTACATCAAGCGCTTCAAATCATCAATGAGTCCTCTGGCCACCCTGGGAAAGCCTTGTTTAAGCCCCGGGAAGGAGCTAGTTCCTTGAAATGCATGATATCTGCATATCATGCAGATATGCAGATATGCAGATATCTTTTACATATCTTTTGCATAATATGCAAAAGATATATTGCATATTATGCAATATATATGTATATAATATATATGCATATATATATTCATATATATATATATATAGTTATATAGTTATAACTATATAACCCACATATATAGTTGTGGGTTATATATATAACCCACACTGCAGTTTTCAGTGTGGGAAGAAACTGCAGGCAAATTCTTCCCACACGCTGTTACCAGACTGAACAGAGCATTTTAATCGGTTACTCACTGGTTTATTGCTTTTACTATGTGCTTGTTTTTTTGAATATCTAAATCTTTAAAAAATTCAGTTGATTGCTTTTTTGCGCTTTCAATGTGGTTTTTAAATGCAATTGGCAAATAAACTGACTTCAAACTGCACTCCACTTGTGTGTAGTAATCTTTATTCATATACCGCCTTTTCACTGCACATCGGAGTCTCAAAGCAGTTTACAAATGTGATTTTTGGGAGTGGGGGTGCCAGTACAGGAGGCACATGCCAGACCTTTTTGTACATATTTTTAGTGGTACGGGAAACCGGAGCACCCGGAGGAAACCTACGCAGACACGGGGAGAACATGCAAACTCCACTCAGAAAGGCCCTGGTCCAACCGGGATTCGAACCCAGGACCTTCTTGCTGAGAGGCGAGAGTGCTATCCACTCAGCCACCGTGCTGCCCGAGCCCAATATAAAGAGTACTCTGAAATACCCTGCATGGATATATGAAGAGACTATAGGGATCTCCCAGTCACGTGACCCATGTGTCAGCCCTTTTGGCGGTATCCGTCCGCCAACTCCGCAGCAATGGAGCTAAGCTAGCTAGTTCAAAAACTCTCTGGAACTACATGAAAACTGAACAAAGAATTCTGAACATCAGTGGTGAGGAAGTCATTTATATACCGAACCTAAATCCATAATCAGATCCTCTTCAAATGTGTCCTAAAATGTTCGTTTCATGTTAATGGTTACTTCTGGGTTTATCACGATCGCTTTTTTGTTACATTAAAACAGTATTTTCGTCATGAAAACGTTAACAAATAATTCTGAAAACCTCCGTGCATTTGTATTAGGTATGTATATGTATACTGTATTCTCTGATTAACATTTAATGGTGTTAAAATTTATTGGCATTTGTTTTAGAGTGGCTAGCTCTGCTAGCTTTTAGAGGCTAGCTCTGCTAGCTTCTCTACACAGTGGCGACAGGCACTGAAAGCTTATTGTACTTGTATTTTTGTCATGAAAACATGAACAAATAATTCTGAAAACCTCCGTGCACTTGGTATACAGATATTCCTTTTGTCTGATCACGTATCTGGTCGCATCCAACTGCACAGCATTGCTCCGGCATGATAGGAAAATCTCGCTACTACCTGTAGTATCACCGGCGGTTTTGCATTTCTACACCGTCAAAATGGCTGCTCCAAATGGCGTGACGTCACACGGGACGTCCCTATAGTCCACTTCGGTTTGGGCATTATGATGGCGCAGCGGTTAGAGCTTGTATTT